GGAGACAGACAAAAACGACGATGGTTTCTTGGACAGAGACGAACTGGCATCAATGCTCGATGCGGTTGGCATGCCAAAGGACTGACATGCAGAGTGCATGGACAGACATGAAAATGTATGAACATGTATGAACATGTATGAACATGTATGAGAACATGAAAAGGATAACAAGCACTTGCTCCTGCCCCAGCGATAGCAATGACAAGCCGGTCAAAGTGAAAACAAAGGCAGATAAGGAGTATGAGGCTTGCCCGAGAAAAAGAACTTGAAAACATATATAAATAAATATATAATTATACATACACAAAATTGATTTCAATGCACCTGCAACTGGACGAGAGTAATCAGAAGTACAGGCGCTCGAGGAGTAAAGATGGAGGAACGATGCGCAATCAGAATGCAGATTATTGAGGAACGGGTTTTGGTTTGAGCATCACCGGACACTGCAAGACTCTTGAGTTACCTTGAGTAAGTGTGACAGGCGCAGAACAAGCCACTGTCATGATACTGATGAGTCCGCACGTGACGTGTAAAATGTGTAAATCAGGAGTCCACGGGAGGAGTCCTGTAAAGTGCTTATGTGTGCCCTGAGTGCAAAAATGTGCAAAGATCAGTGAAGCGCAAGACAGTACAGATCAGCACAGATCAGCACAGTAAACTGGAGTAGTTGGTCCATGTTAATCTTTCACAGTAAGCAGGACTGAACTGACTGAACTGGTTGAACATGAGCAAGAAGATGCAAAGAGTAATCTTTAGTAGAAACAACAAGTCAACGTATTCAACGTATTCAACGTATTCAACGTATTCAACGTATTTGCATTTTTTCAATTCAAGATTCTTAACGTTTGCTTGATGCAGTAGGTCTAAAGGATGGACCTCGAAGAATGAACGCTTTGTGACCTCATCTGACTCTTAGAAGGCGACTGATTTGCTTCCCTCCAACGACAAGCCAAACCAAACCGCAAGGAAACAACATGAATCAACCGAAAAGTGTAGGCTAATTTCATACCTAGCAATTTACATCAATGTACTGCAATTCAATTTATCAAGATATATCAAGATGAGGTTTAGGATGGTTTTGGACCCGGAACATTTCAATCTATCTTAATAGGAGGCTAAAATCAAACTGCATATCTTCTTGGTACTCTCAACAGCTTCACACAACTTCACCACGACGTGGAGTCGTGCCATGTTGTGTCATTATCTCAGGAGCGTGCAGGGGCGCTCTTTGATGCAGCAGACGTTGACAAGAGTGGGACAGTGGACTTTGAGGCAGGGGCCTCTGACACAGACTCTGGCCCGGCATCCGTGTAGGAAAAGGATAGGGCGGATAGGGGTAAGAATAGTATATAACTGCAGATTCTGTCAGATGTAACCTGATGCTATGGCATGTGTTCACATGCTATGGGAAGAAGTAGAGGCTTTTGTGACAATTGTTTGGTTTTCTGCGTCTTCACGCAATCCATTCCACGCAGGAGTTCTGTGGCTGGCTTTTTTCTGATGTGATGCTCAGCAGCATCCAGCAGCCAATTCTTGCCTTTGCGTTGCGGTCAGGTGGCACCGCAGCTTTGAGATGACCCTGCTAGGTTCAGAGGTTATCAGAGGTTATCAGAGGTTATCAGAGGTTATCAGAGGTTCTCAGAGGTTATCAGAGGTTAAAGGTTAAGATGATTTTTGAATCTGTCAAGTTTTGGGGTGGCAGTGTCACTAAGTCGGATTCGGCTGGCGTTCTACACGCGTCATTCATCCCTCAATCATCCTCAATCCATGGTTTGTTTATGCCCGTAGCGTAGTGTAGCTGTTCATTTCCTTTTATTTCATGTTTTTCACACTCGCCCGAGTTGCCCGACTGTCATAGCAGAGTAAGGAAGAAAGCAATGGAAGTCTGCGTGAAGCAAGGTGAGATTGTGAACAAACATTTGAAGGTGGAGATGAATGTGGGTGATGTTTTGTGCTATGGCCTGGATGAAAAACTGGTCAGTCGCTTTGCTCAGAACAACCCTCCACTCAGTTCCTTTCCGTAGTTTGGTCGTGTCTGGTCCCCTTATGAAGTTTCATTCTCTAGGGCTTTAAGCATCTGGGGAACAGTCAAATGTATCAAAGACTTTCAAAGATCAGTTCGATCTATTTTGATCATTTTTGATCTATTAAATGTTGAATGCAGTTGAATGCACTTCTCAGATGCTGATCTTTCCACACACACTTCTAAGATCTAAGCAGCCAAGCCCAGCACATCACAACATCCAGAGCATTCCAGAGCTGCATGGTTGGAGGACAACCGGATTGAGCATGTTTGATCGTTTTTTCCATGTATTTTGTTGATGTTGTTTGTCTGCCCTATAATTATATATATTATAATTATATATATATATATTACAGTTATATATGTATATATATTATATTATATTATATTATATTATACTATATTATATTATATTATATATTATATTATATTATATATTATATTATATATTATATTATATATTATATTATATATTATATTATATATTATATTATATATTATATTATGTTATATTATATTATATTATATTATGTTATATTATATTATGTTATATTATATTATATTATATTATATTATACTAACGCTGTGTTAGTACTATATTATATTATATTATATTATGTTATGTTATATCAAATCATATCATATCATAATATATCATATCATATTATATCATATTATATTATATCATAACGATAAATATTATATTATATTATTATAATATATATATATACATACATTATGGTTGCTGTTGAAAACACTAGGACGGATTGCATTGTGTTCTGCCTCATCTTTGGACATAATGTCATAATCAGTTTGGTTTAGACTCTTGCGTTTGATGCTGCAATAGGTCAGATCGTGCATTGTACAGTAGCGGGTTATTGCCTATGCAAGATAAGAGGTAGTAGCAAACCAGAAATGGTTCAGAGATCCATCAGGACAATGTTGTTTTTGACGACACACACACATGTTTGATACACTTGCTGATGAAACATGATACAGTTCACAACTACCAGCTCTTGTGATAAGTGCGCTTATTCTTGGGTCATGTGTTGCCAAGGAAGCAGCTTCACCTATGAGATCAACGTGATGCCGGATGATGAGACGGTAAGACATTTAGAATCTCGAGCAAAGATTTATGCCGAGGAAAAGAAGAAGCAACAGGTGGATTCGTTGGAGAAAGCTGTCGTTGACGCAAAGTCTAAGATGGAGGCCGCAAAGGCAAAGGCTGCAAAGGCAAAGCCCAAAGATGCAAATCCCAAAGGCAAAGACGGCAAAGATGAAGAGCTCTCCGCCGAGGAACAGGCTGTTGTTGAGGCAGAAAGGACGGTGAGTGCTGCAGAAAAGGCCAAAGCTCGAGTGGAAGAAGCACCACCAGATGTCCAGCCAGTGCCACTTTTGGAGAAGGTTTTTGATGACTTAGTTGCTGCAGAAGATGTGTCTTCAGGCTCCTCGCAGACTTGGTGATGTCTCAGAGTGCTCTCCAAATCTCTCTAATGTATTCCAATGTTTAGACATCTACCCCTCTCGGTTTCTTGCAAATATGTGAGGGCAAACGAGGGCAAACATGTTGAATAAGCAGAATGGTCCCGCAGATTATTCCATTCGAAGGACATACATGGGGTTGCGCAGTGCAATTCGCAAGGCTCTTCGGGTGTGCACGTGCTCAAGTGGAAAGCCAAAGAGGAAGGAACAGCAACTTTGTGACTCGGACATACTCGGACCAAGTTCTGCGAAAGTGGCTTTGCATTTTTGGAAAAAGTTGCGTACTGTACTTGTCCGTTTGATAGTGATAATCCAGAACTTTTGGTTCATTCCCAACAGCAGTGCTTGTTGGGGTTCAATCTCTCTTGTTCTGGGACTCGTGCATCACGGATACAAGTTACTCAAAACTGGAACGAAACGCTGGAACCTTAGAACCCTCGATCCTGGAACCCTCACTGCTGCTCGGACTGCAAAGCTGGGTCAACTCACGAGAAGTGATGGCCTTAGGAAGCTCTTGCAGCATTACAAGGTCGCAGGTGCCTTAGTTCCCGGATGTTCGCAGTGCATCTCTGTCCACAAAGTGCATCTCCGTCCACAAAGTAAAACGGTATACCTGGCCACACAACAAAGTAATGAGGTATGATACGGATTGATACGGTATGATTGGCAGAATTCAATCTGAAGGCAATCGCTACAGTCGCTGACATTTCGCTACACGTCGCTACATACTCCAAGGTTGAAGGGCCTGATGAGACCGAAGTGGACAAGGTTCACCGATTTGAAGGGACTGTCATGGCCATGGACATCCATGGACTTGAGAATTCTGAGGAGACTGTGTATATGATATATACATATATATATTATATTTATTGTATTGTATTTTTGTTATATTTATATTTATATGTATCTTATTGTTTATATTTATATTTATATTTTTGTTATTTTATATTTATATGTTTATAGTATATTTATATATTATATTATATTGTATTATATTATATTATATATTATATATTATATATAGTATGTATATAATATATATTATATATTATATATTATTTACATTATTATATATATCATATTTTTTTGATATTATATTATGTATATATTATATAATATTGTCTTATATATGTTTATAATATATTTCAATTTATTATATTTCATAATATTATATATTATACATAGTGTATATTATATTATAATAGATAATGTATTAAATATTTTATTTTATTTTATATCATATTTTTTATATATACTATATTATTTATTTATTATAATATATATATAATATCATATATTATATTTTATATTATAATATATATCATATTATATCGTATCATATTATATTATATTACATCATATTATATCATTTTATATTGGGCAATATATGTATATATTGATATAATTTGATATATATATATATATATGCACCAGGCCCTGCCACCCCCCCCTCCCCCCCCATGGGATGGGTCCCATATTGAGATCTTCCCCCTCCCCCCCTGTGGTGTGGTGGGGGTGTGGTATGGTATGTTGGGTATGTATGGTGTGTATGGTCGGTCTGGTATTATGTTATGTTTGGAAAGTATGGTATGTTTGGTATGTATGGTAGGTATGGTATGTATGGCATGTATGTTTGCTATTGTATGGATGGTAGGTGTGGTATGTAAGTCTGTTGGGTATGGTATGTTTGGTATGACAGCATGTATGGTCTGTATGGCATGTATGGTTACTATGATGGGCATGGAATCTTCCTATGTAAGGTAGGTATGATATGTATGGCATGTATGTTTGCTATTGTATGTATGGTAGGTGTGGCAATTATGTTTCATACGCATGGTATGTGTGGTATGTATGATAGGTATGATATAGGTATGGTATGCATCATTGGGATGTATGGTAGGTACGGTATATGTTAAACACATGTAATGTTGTCAGAGTACACAGGTAGTCAATAGGAAGTATAGATACATAGCACATGTATATATGACTATGGGTAGCACGTAGGCGTCACGTGGGTACTTTGAGGGAGTATGTGTGCTACGTAGGTCACCTAAAAGGTAGCATGTACCTAGTAAATGCGAGGTTGGTAGTCAGAAATGCTGCAAAGACTTAGCAAATACGAAGCTGGACCTCAGAAATGCCGCCAATAGCTTGCAAATAGAAGGGAAGGGGGGGTGGCACCTGGGACCCAACCCATGGGGGGGGTGGAGAGACGGAGGACGGGACCATATATACCTAAATGATCTTGAATGTTTGAACGGTCGGAGCCTGGACACTGTGGAGGAAGCAACATTTAATGATTTAATGGAATCCAGCCTGTCATGCCGCGATGCCAACGAACTAGCCTTTCTGGCGCGCAAACATATGCAAGATTGATCAGTTCTCCAAGAACGATTCTTATTCCTGGCAGACATTTTAAGGTAGTCTTCACACAAGTCTAGTAGTCGCAAAAGGCAAGAAACGTATCTCAGTGATCAAATACAAAGAGGATTCATGTTAGTTTGCAGTGAAGCAAGCAGAAAGCCGGAGTCCAGACGTGGGAAAAAATGGAACATACTTTCAGACTAGAGTTTAGTGGAGTTATCAGACGATATGAGCAAGTCTGATGAAGCCCTACCGGGGATTTCCGGGGATTCTTAAGCACGAAGAGTTCTTCCATGGAGCACTAAGAGAGATGATGATAGCCTCCACCCTGGCAAGAAGCCCTTTCGAGATATTGCGCTTCGGGACATACCACAAGAAGGTTCCCTAGTCATTGCATGGACAGTGAACAATCATGAAGAAGCACAGGGTATAGATGCAGATGGGGTTGGAAGTGCTGGGTTGGAAGTGCTGGGTTGGAAGTGCTGCAATTTCAGTTCAGGTTCGATTTAGTTCAGGGTCCCTCTGTTTGGATCCAGGACCAAGACTTCTTTCTTTGATTGCATGGGGTGGTGTAGGCACCATGTCTAAAAATGTCTAAAAGTAAATAGAATGACATCACGGGCGGCACTGACGCTTCAAACAAAATCAGAGGGACAGTTCTCAACTGGAAATGCCAAATGAAAAATACTGAAGAATGAATGAAGAATGCATGAAGCATGTAAGTAATGTAAGCAATTGCCAAGGGCTTGGACGTAGTGCTTTGGTGGCTGTGAGGTGGAGGAATTTGACTTCAGTGTGACTGTGGTGCCTTCAAAGTCTGGCGCGTCGACTCTTGGTATGAAAGGAAAACGCCAAGAATAAGATGAATAAGATTGAACTACAGTATATTGAATAAAAATAAACAGAAGTTTGAACTCTTCAATCCGGAATTTCCGGAAGTCCAGGGAAGTCGATCACTGGATTCATACTTTTTCCGAATCTGTGCTCAGGAGCCAAATGCGAAACAGCTTTATTATGTTTTATCATGTTTTAGTTGTGCACTTCTTCAACACGGTGTACTTTTGTTGTGGGGTGTGGTGGGGCGGGTAATTGATTAACGTTCATGTTAACTTGCACACGCAGTGGATCGGATCCTAGACTGTACGTTATGGCATGGGGTTGCGGTTGGACGGGGTTGGGCATAGTGTGCCATTAAACTTGCACACAATGCGGATCCAAGGCTGCAGACTGATGTCTCCGGCTGGAGATGTTGTACGTTACGTCATGGGGGGGTGGGGTGGGGCAGTAACGTTCAGATTTCAACCTCCACGTGGATCGCACGTTACGCGCATCAATGGATGTGCCAACCCGAGTTGACACAAGTTTTGTATTGTTGGGCTTACAGCAGCTCCTCTGTCAGGATGTCAAACAGGGGACACGCTCTGAAGAAGCCTCTGAAAATGAAGAACACATAACAAATAGAAAAAACGAGCGCGCTCCAGAAAGCATGTTGCCTTTAAAATGTAATAGCTATGAAACTCACTGAACATCACCTTGCAAATCCCCGGGAATTTCAAGGTCTTGTCTTGACATATCTTGACATGAAATCGCTACAGTACCCGCTGTGGTGCCGCGGTTTTTCAATCAAAGTAGCAATTGCTTCATTTGGAGTGATCCCCACCCTGACAAAATATTCTGGCACTGTTTCTGACATATCGCCTGGAATGGTATTTGGCAATATTTGGCATATATGTATATAATTATATATATATACAGTAATATATAATATACACATTCTGACATTCTTTCTGGCATAAACGCTGGCATTCTATTTGACATTCTATTTGGTATATACTCCGACATTTTATCTGACATTCTTTCTGGCATTTTATTTGACATATATTCTTACATTTTATTTGACACTCTTTCTGGCATTCTATTTGACATATATATAATCTATATTATCTTTTCGTATATTCTTACATTTTATCTGACCCTCTTTCTGGCATTGACATACATTCAGTCTGACATTTTATCTGGCATTCCCCTTGGCATTTTATCTGACATATATTCTGACATTCGGCCTACTAGTAGCATTCTTTCTGGCATCTAGTCTGACATTCTTTCTGCCATGTGTTCGGGTCCGTGCGTACCAAGACTGATCTGTTTTTGAAACATCCGCCACTGCCTTGTGCGGTACTACTGGTCTAAAAGCCAAACCCAGTATGTTTGACGCCGGCTCTGTTTTTGGCAGTTTGGCCGGACTGCCGCATTTTCCAATGAGTTTTTCTCTTCAATTTCAGCTGATTTAGGCCTCTTAATAGTCATTGGAGCATTCTCCGAAAAGAAATGGTGGAAAAAAAAATAAATTAAATGTTATAAATATTTCAAATATAAATTATCCAAGTGAAACTAAAATATTATTTTTTTTTATAATTTTACAACAAATAACAAAAATATATAGTCTGAACTGGAGTTGGAGTGAGAATTCTCCACTTGACAATGAGCTGGCACTTGATGTGAGATCCGGGTCCGTTGGTGCCCACAATGGCGTCGAGCTGGCAGAAGGAGGAGGAGGACGCGGAGAAGGCAGGCGGGAGGCGGGAATTGCACCCGACCCTCACCTGGCAGGTGGGGAATAACCGCTGGCACGGAAGGCACCCCCGCCGAGATGTTTATCATGCTTTATTTTATCAGCCCTTATTCTTGTGATCTCTCCAAGATGTCCTGTTGACCCATGCAGCTCCCTGTTGTCATGCGCCGTATTGCGCCTTTCATTCTTCAAGCCTTGAATTTTGAAGTGTTTTGAGTTCCATTGCTTGTTGCTCGTGATCAATCCTGAGGAAAGCTGACTGGTATGCCTGGAGCTGGTATGATGTTAAATGGGTGAAAGCCCCGGCCAACAAGGCAAAGTGTTGATGCATTTCTTCCGCATGTAGCTCTGTGGTGTCACTGAGCAAGGCTAAGGAAAAAGTTCACCATGGCCAATCATTGCTGATCAACGTCATACAGACAAGTAAAATGATCTGAATGGTCTAGCTCTGTACAGGCAGACAAGTTTGCGAAAAAGATGGGCAAAGCAGCTCTGGACCCGTGCCGCCAACTTGCAATGGAAACACACAGAACTCAAACAGAGCGCGAGAGACGTCAAACAGAACGCAAAAGTATCAAAACTATTCAGAAACTGAAAAAGTTGTGTGAACAGCTACATGAAAAAATGAATGGAGAAAGGGGCAAAAGAATGCAAAATTTAAAAGAGCTGTTTCTCATCCACATTTCAGGAGCTGCAATGGGTGCCTCCAGTCTTTGGACCAAAGAAAGAGAAGCTGTCCCTAGTTTGCAAAGCCGTGTGCCGTTTGCAACAAGGCACTGTTTACACCATTTTACACCTCAATTGCTGGGGCTCTTGTATTTCCTTTTAAAACTCCGTAATTATGAACAGTGATGTACACTGGTACGATTTATACTGTCTGTGATTCTGATTCCTGCGTCGAAAATGTTCAAGGCATACACAGCTGACCTACTGCTTCAGCCCAAAATGCCTGGATTTGGATTGAGCAAGACACTGGCTGATGTTGGTTGATGCCAGAAAGTGTACTTACAGGCCATGGAAAGCTTGATGATGCCATGATGGCTTGGCACTGGACAGATGCAGCGTCCAGGAGGGTCCAGCGTTGGTTTCACTTTCTGTCTCACCCTGCCAAGCAGGTGAGCCTCGCCCCAACTATCTTGGGCAAAGCGAAAGGGAAAACTGCATCAAGTTCATACTCAAGGTATCACATGGTATCACAGGATCATCTAAAATCAAGGATATCTCAGCGCGCTAGATGTTTGCAACGAGTAGCATGTCACAGAGAAGCCCTCCGCAGTTGTTTACCAGCCAATGCCAGCTGTCCTTCGCCCATTTTGCAACCGACAGGCTCAGACTGAGGGTGCGAAGTGCAGATGTGACGCAGTGTGGTATGGTGACACGCCTTCCTGGCCTGTGGAACGTATGCTTTGCTTCCAGCAGATGAACAGATTCGAGAGATTCTTTGTTGTTTTCGCATTCCAAATCCAGAATCAAATAGAATCCATAGAGAGAGAGAGAGAAACACATCAAATAAGATTGAACATAGTTATACCAGTAGTACCGCACAAGGCGGTGGCGGA